CCATAGTCCATGGGGGGGGGGGGTACAGCATTTGGTGTTGGTGCTGGGGATACTGCTTCAAACATGTGGTTATAGTTCCTCCTCATGTGGCCCTCATAATCTAGTGTTAAATATGGACAAGCAAATAGAGAATTAGAACAGAATGTAATAAGTGCCTGGGCAGAGGGGTTTGTTTCTTCTCTGCATACTTGGAAACAATGACAATGCTGTTCATTTATTAACAAAATGGCCACAACTTGCACTTTAATGCTTTAATTACACTGATGAATAATTTTTATACCTATTAGAATATATAAAAGTGTTTCTACTAAACAATTGGAAGTTTGTAATTAAGAATGGAGCAGTATCTGTGGGGGTCTCCTGCAAAACGCACTTCTGTGCATTTCCCATTCCCCAATTCTCTCCCCCTACTAGAGCAGTTGTTCTCAACTCAGGCCAATTTTGCCCTCAGGGGACACTTGGCAATGCCTGGAAATATTTTTGGTTGTCACAATAATGGTGGGGTACTACCGGTATAGAGGCCAGGGAAGCTGCTAAACATTTCACAATACATAGGGCAGCCCTCATCACAAAGAATTATTTGGCTTGAAAGAATAGTGCCTTGGTTGAAAAATCCTGAACCTGAGTGACCAATTCATCCTAGTTTGCACGAGACTTCCCAAATTTTGGCACAGAGAGTCTTACATATCAGGAAACCCCCAGTCCCAGGTAAACCATACAGGTTGACCACTCTACCTCCTATTTACTAATATTAGAAAAGCAGTGTGTATTCAAACAGTTGTTCCTCTTGGGATGAACTTTCAGTCTCTTATTGTAATGTAATAAAAAATCAGAATCAGCATGAACATGCATCAAGAATGTATTTTGGGTCCCAGGTAAACCATCCAGGTTGACCACTCTACCTCCTATTTACTAATATTAGAAAAGCAGTGTGTATTCAAACAGTTGTTCCTCTTGGGATGAACTTTCAGACTCTTATTGTAATGTAATAAAAAATCAGAATCAGCATGAACATGCATCAAGAATGTATTTTGTCCAGTATTATGCCAAGAATGTTACCTGTATTATCTTTTAAAATCATTTTAACAACTCCAAGAGGTTACTATTATTGTCTCCATTTTACAACTGAGAAAAAACAGGCTTACTTTAGGTAAATTGTTCAACATAACACAGCTGGTTACAGTAGAGTTTGGATTACAAAACAAGGTCTATTCAACCCTTGAGTTTAGTGAGTATATCCTTGCTTTGCAAAATCAAAAATATTTTCTCCACACTGTGTCAACCTGGTTGCCTAGCTTGTATTTAATATGATAATTGCAAGAATTACAAATCCAACAAAATTTTATTTGCTGAAACTGTGGCTTTCATTTTCTAAGTTGTTGCTGGCTGCAACTGTGCATCAAGTTTGAGCTGTATGAAGAGTTCGATTTTCTTTTAAAAAGTATGAAATTTGAAACCAGAGAGTCTAACTTGATATGTGATTCTAAGTAAATTAATTTCTCTGAGCCCCATGGGGGTAATGGGTAAATTAAATAAGGTAACCTGTCTAAAGTCCCTGGTATAGTGCTTGGTAGGTATGTCAGAGAAATTCCATGAGTGGTAGCTCTAATTACGAGTGTGAAGAAATAGCTTGATTTAAATGGCATAGATTAGCTTTTTCATAACAATTTCATTAGCAGAGAAGGAGAAAGAGAGACAGACAATGTGAATATCATAACATTGATAGCCTAGTATAACAAAAAGACATTTGGAGTCCAAAAATATTGGTAGAAATCCAGCTTACTTACTTAAGTACTGTATGAAAATGTAACATTTATCTTCTATAAAATGAGGGAAATAATACTTTTTACTGAACATTGTGAAGATTCTGACAAAGAATATACATCCCACATATCTTCCCATTTCTTAAAAACAAAACAAAAACAAAAACCCGTACTTAACATAGTTACTTCCAAAAAGTTACAGCAGATTGAAAATCAAAACTCCATTGTAAATATTGCTTTGAGTGATGAACATTCGGTTACTGAAAGAAATATCTGTTTTGCCTGCAGTCAGTAGTCAGATAACCAATTAAACAGGTGCAGTTCTATTTTCCGTTATTTGTATTAGGGAAGATATGGCTCCTAATGTAAAGATACTTTCAGAGCTGCAATGTAATTAAAACAACTCTAAATTATAATGTACTGAAGGTATCCACTAAATAAACGTGTATGGGTAAAGCCCATTTTTGTTTTGTTTAGACTAACAATGTGCTTAACTTGGGGGAAAAAGTCTGTAATTCACTGATGAATGAAATGACACTTGTGGGAAAGGGATATAAAAGAAAGGGAGTGATTGTGGAAGAAATACCATCACCAAGCTGGGTGATTTCTGTAGGAAGTGTACAATTAAACTGTCCTACCTTGAACAGGATTGTGGCAAACAACAAATGGACCAAACCTATGATATAAAAGTGAAGAATCATGCCATCTGAGGTCAATCAAAGAGAGCAGAATTTCCATTGTTGAGAGCTCAGAGGAGGAAGGGCGGCCAGGACCTAAATTGAAAGTGTACTCTGTTGTGTTTGTGAAGATTTACCCATATATTCCTTTACTTTTTTTCTCTTTTATTCTTTCTTTCCCCTGCTTGGATTTCAGGACAATCTGATCACTCCCTCCCCACTTTGGTTTTCATACTAGTTATAGAGAGAAGTAATTATGGAATCTGCGAATTAAAGAGGTGGATTTGGGAAATAAGAAAGTAGTACTGGAATGATTGCTTTCTGCTACCACTGAGGTTTATCGAATTTAACAGACACCTGGCAACACAACTGGATTCAGACCTACAATAATTGTTGAGGAGGGTAATTGTGTATACATGGGGTCATTTGGATTTTATAACCAAAGGATATATGAATACTGTGGGACTCATCAGAAACTCTCATAAAAATAATGACCCATAGGCAGGGGCAGATCCAAGTGTTGTGGGTCCTGATGTTTATATAATTTGGGCGGGCCTTTATACAAGATTAAGTACAGAAATGAATAATTAGAAGGAAAAAATACATCACAAGAAGTTACTGGAAATTTGGAGACTCAGATCATTTTCTTGAATCTCTTTAGGCAATTGCCAGAAATGCTCATCCAGAAGTATTTGTTGATTGCAAACTTCTCCCCACCTACAACACTCCTCAACTCCCAGCACACATAGGGGTCCTTGCAAAGGAGGCCTGACCACTAAGCTTCGCTGGTAGCATGCTCTGCCTACAAGAACCTCCCGTTGTAGCTTATTTCATTTTGTTTGCTAAGCCTGAAATTACCGTGGAACACATATTCCAGAAAACTTCCATCTGATGCTTGTCACTTCATCGTAAGAACGAAAACCCTCACGCACCTATCATCCATCTGGAACGACTGTGTCACGCTGTGTTTTAAAGGTATAGGGTGGCTTGCAGCCTGGCCCCAGGGTTGCACACGACGTTGCGCGCCCACAGCTGCAGTCCTCAGGGACCGCACTCCTTGTGCGCCTGGGCTGTGGGGGACTGGGGGGGGGGGG